TGGTCAACAAAGGTGCGTCACAACTTTATCGCGGCTGCGATCGTGTTTGGATCCTTTCCGATCGGCTCCCGGCCTGATCGCGGAACTGCATCCAGTCCGTCTCCTCGGGCGCTTGGGGCTTTGAGTTTTTGGCCAGGGGAGTTCCGTACAGGACTCGCGACGGCATGGCTCAGGGGCGCCCTCAGCCACAAATTGCTTCAGCTGTTTGGGCAAACGTCACGAAGTGCTCCTAGTGCCAGACCTGCTCCTCCGCGCCTTCCCCCGCTTGCAACATGTTCCAAAAATATGGGCAGGGACGGCATCATCACCACCTGTTCACCCATGAGTACACTGGTACACAGTTCACCCTCAACCTCTCATCGACATACAGACTCAGGCCTCCAAAGAATCAAAGGCGTGAACATATCCGGTGTACCATCCGCAACGTACGGCTTATGAGCGCTGTAACTCCGGCCAGTGTCGGCTCCGGCCAGATGAAGCTCTGCTGCTTCGCCGTGCCCAAGCAAGTCCTTCGCGTGCCCAGGCTTCAATGCGATTCAACAGGCCATTTCGGTGACAGAGGGTTCAGCTCAGGGGTCATACGGAGTGGTGTCCACTTTCTAACAGCACTGACTGACCTCTCGTGATGCTCCCTGAGCTTTCGGAAGTGTGCAGGATCGGTCTCGGGCATTTTGTGCATGAACTTCCGTGGTTTGCCCACCCAAAAGGGAAACCAATCAATCAAGTCCAACCTGAAGCCTTCAAGGAATGCGACGTCGCAACGCGCCCGAGCTACACCTCACTGAAGCACCTACCCCAAACCCGACTTCCTAAACTGCCAGTGTGGTCCAGCGAAGCCAGCCATAGCCGGCCGATTCGGGTGAGCGAGGCCTGCGCACATTTTAACACTTGCCAGCGAAGTGTGTGTTGCCTGGGCACATTCACGAGCTTCGGGGCTTTCAACGCCATCAGAAATCAACCGCACCAACCAAACATAAACACCCTGCACATAACGTGCCTTTTGGCCTTTCAGTTTTGACACGCTCAGCCCCGCACCTCATCGAGATTGGCGCTTGAGCCGCAAGCCGAAAATAAAGTCTTGCGTAAGCTGCTGCACAAATCCTGACATCCAAGCATGTCATAAAACTCCTTTTTCTGTATCTCCTGACCCCGAACCACCGAAGAAAGGAAGCCCAAAACAACATTTCAGCCTCCGGGCGCGGCGAAGCCAGTGCCTCCACTGGCAGGCCCCGGAGCCTGTGGGCTACTGGACACCTCCTTGAATTTTTTTGGGGTCAGGGGTCTTAGGATATAGAACTTCTGGCGTAAGGGGATTTCAGAATTAGGGAGCCCGGTTTCGCCGGCTTCCAAAACCTCGGCAGCCTTTGCACCGGCAAACCGTCCTGAACCGTCCTGAACCGTTCGGAACCGTCCAAACCGTCCTGAACCCCAATCCCAAAACCCCATTGCTGTCACCCTCCACACCGTTAGACCTCTTATAGTTGACATCGTTCATGCCTTACTGCTGCAAGATCCAACGAGGCTTGACAGGTGGCGCCGCCAGGTCTTCGGCGATAGGCGCCCAGACACGGCGGTTGAGGCCTCGGGATGCCGCATGTCACCGTATGTCAGAGCAGGGGCCGGGTTTCTAGATTTATTTGGGCTCGGAGCTTAAATCAAAAAGCTCTGGTAAGTACACAACCTGAAGCTCGAAACTTTGAACTCAAGCCACTCGCGCACGCGGATGCGTGACACACGTGCAGGCAGAACCGGCAGTGGGTGATCCAGTGCCGGGTGAAGCAACAATGGCGTTTGCACCCATCTCACTAGCTGTCTATCGGCACTACGTTTTCCATCCTCGTGCACATGTGTGAGCTGCATCAGATGGCACCAGCTCATCCTCCACTGCCAGCGCAAATCGGTACCAGTAATGTTTTGCCATGGCTTCTTCACCGAATCACACCGAACAGGGCCAAAGGCAAACTGAGCGGGTGCATTTTTGTACCCCAGACCAGGTCACGAGAGTCGCACCCTGCCAGGACTACTGACGTGACTTAGGCTTCGGAGCGGACATCTATCAAATCTCCAAAGCCATGCGGGGTGAGAGTGGAACGGCAAGTGATGACTTCGCCCACAATATTCATTCCATGGAATCTTCTTTACACGCAGACCATCGATAGCAACGTGTCCCTGTTTGCCCTTGGCTTCTTGGACTCTTCTTCCGTTTTGTCTTCTTGGGAGCAAAACAGACACAACAGCAAAACGCCGCAAAGTGACAACCTGTGGCCCTCCCGCTTCAGTCCCTTTGTGATAGGTTCTTCGTTGACATGGGGCCGGCTGAATTTTGGGGGCCCTTTGGCTTTGCGACTTTTGTGGTGCGGGTGTGTTGAGGTATTGGAGTTCGAGGGCCAGCGTGCTAGCCCGACTCGGCAATGTCGATCCCGGTTTTGACACTGAAAGCAGCCGTGTTGCCGTTGGCATGCAGCAGCAAGCAGAGCGTTGTGTCCATGCTGCTATGGCTCCACCCCCCCCGGGGGGGAGGATGGTGACTCTAAGGCTGGCTTGGCTTGGATGCTCTCCAAGAAGCTGACATGTCTGCGGAAATGGCTCGGGCAAATGCGCGCGCGAACCCAATGCCCTGCAAACGTTGCCATCGTAACGCAGCACCAAACGACTTCAGTCCCCGAATCCTCCGTAGTCAAACCTGAGGTCATCGGCCCTGAGCCCTTAAACCATAGCAGCAAATGACCTTTAGAACTGACACAAGAAGCCACGAGACCCTCGAACAGCTGAGGGCCAGCCTCGTAGGGGCTTTCGGAAGAACCAGGAAGAACTTGGGGGCTGTAAAAAATCAGACTTACGGCGCGCAGAAGCCCTCTTGGCGCTCAGGCGTGGAGATTTATTTAGGTCATAAGACAGAAATAGGTCTGATAGGCACTGTAGGAGCCTTTGGGTTTCTGGACGTTATGGGGAATTCTACTGGCGCTTGCAAGCCCAGGCCGGCAGCACCGTGCGGCCGACGCGATGAATATACCGGGTGACCTCAGAAATGGAATCTCAACGGCCGTCCTTGTTTTGGGATTAGGGGTGGGTTGAGTAGTACAGGGCCATGGGGCCTGAAATGAGTCTGGTGCATGGTCACCTGCGCAGGCGCTTGAGCGCCAGAACCTCTTGAATGCCGAAATGCAGGGCTTAGAACAGGGCTCAGAGTTCAGAGTTCGTGGTGTCTCAAAGTTGCTGGGGCCTGGCTGCCAGGGAGTTAGGGAATGTTTTTCAGTGAGTTCTGAAGCATGGGAGGGCCTTGAAGCCGGCATAAGCTGTGGCCCCAGCATCAACTGGCAGGTGGAAGTTGATCACGGTCTTGGTGCAGGGCCTCCAGACTTTGAGGGGGCTTCGGTGTTTTGGGGCTTTGGGCGGGAGTTCGGGAAAGGAAAGGAACTCAGGAGAGAGAGAGAGAGAGAGAGGGAGGCCCAAAGCATGAGCAGCAAACACCCATTTCTGTGGGGCCACACCGTGGGATCAGAGAGGATGTGCACGCAGACTCAGAGACCTAACTCTTAGAGTTAGGAGAGTTCAGGAGCGCAGGCGCTTGATCCACACGCGCAAGCACCCACGGAACGCCTCCAATGTGGTCCCAGCCGCACCCGCAGACCAACATAAAGGTCAGAGGCTTACAGTAGGGTTCAGGGTCATCGGTGCAGGTTTTTAGAATTTAGGGTTAGCCACCAAGAGCCACAAGACACAGAGACCGACCCCCACTCCACGCCCCTCCCCGCCCCCACCCGAGGCCGAGGTTGCGGCAAGTCCAAGCCGCGGGAAGCGATATCGGTGGCAACCAGAAAGTCGGCCTTCATCACTCTCCCTCGCACTGCCTCCTACACTGTATGAGTTCATAGGCTTCGGACTTAGGGGTTTGGAGTCTAGAACGCCCTCTGGGGAGGGGGGGGTTTCATGGTTCAGAGAAAAACTAGCTCGAAGGCCGTGTGAGCTCGGGTTTCGGGGCCGGGCTTCAAACCCATTCAAAGCTGCTAAAGCCCCCAGCTCGAAAATAGAGGCCCCGGTTGAAGGCCTCAGGCCGCCGGTAGGGATTTGAATGGCGTTTTGCTTTTAGGGCGTGCTGTGAATCCTGAAGGCACAGGCTCTGCATTGACTTTGCATGTAAGAAAGAACCAATAACCCCACGACGCGAAAAGGCCCGCCGCGCTCGCCTGCCCCTGCTGGAACCGCTGCAGTGACGCCGCGCGCTCGCCCTGGGGCAATGGTTCTCAGAAGATTTTGATTTCAGTTCGTTTCTGCCAAATATTGCACACCTCTTTCACATGCCTTAGATACAAGGAGGGGCCGAGAGGGGGGCGGGGCCTGGGAGAGGTTCCCGTGGATCTCCGCGAACCTGAGGCCGCAGAGGCCCAAGACGATGGCGATGCGGTGGGCCGCCTACGTTGAAGGTCTCGAGTCTAGAGAGCTTTGCTTGGATGGCTTGGATGGCTTGGGGCTGTGGGGCTTCAAAAGGTTTTCATAAAGCTGTCGGGGATTTTCCGGCAGGGTTGAGGGCAGGCTTAGGCTTTTGGAGGCTTAGAGATTCAAGAGGTTGCTTCGCAGGAATTACGAGGGGGGGTCGCTTCGGGGGCTTGTTCGGATTTGCATGATCAAGTGAGCGAATGGCTCGAACTGCAAAGTCAGGCTCCTTGGGCTGGCTAGGGAGTAAAAAACTTTACGCCTTACGCGTGGACACGTTGAAGTCCCTAAAACCTTTGAGGCGCAAGACCTGGCAAACCACCACTTTTTTGGCTGTGCCTCCTTCGTCGAGCAGAAGACGATGACCTTGGTGCTGTAGTTTCGGGTCACAAGACCTGGGCGAGCCAGCTTCCATAAATTTCTTCGCTCTGAACTCAGAAGCTCTGAACTGCATGAGAGTGGTTGTAGGGCCAAGGGGGTTCGGGTAGGATGCTTGGTCTAGATCTTTGGTTCAGGCAAATGTCTAAGTTAGCTAGGCTTGAAATGCTCCGGGGCAGCTCGGAAAGTTGTTCCACAGGGCAAGGGACGCGATCCGCATGGACGAGGGCCCCAGGCGTGCGCCCTTCCAGCGAATCGACCATCGAACCATGCAGACATCTCCAGAACCCACAGAAGCCCGCCGAAGCAAAGGAAAGACAACAAACCAAAAGAGAACAGAAAAGGCGCCCCCACTCAGCAGCGCTGCTTCCCGGAGCTCCTCCGAGGGTGCCTTCACAAACTCCTCGTGGGGTACCCCCCCCCCCCCCCCCCCCCCCCAAATGGCAGCAGAAGGGGGAGGGCTTGGCGTCATGAGGCATTTTGCAGGCTGAGACTTCAGTGCTTGCGATGTTTGGGTCCGGGTTGTTCTTGACTTGGCGATCTCTCTTGTCTCTGTGCATGAGGTCTTGACCCCAGAACCCTGCGCCCTGCAACCCCTTCTTCCGACCCGTAACACCCTCAAGATCTACAGACAGCCGCACGTGTCCTGCTCCAGAGTTTGGGCAACCGCGTTCACAGGACTTGCGTGGATGCGCTCTGGCTTCACCTGCCGGATTCGAGAGCTTGGGGATGTTAGGATGCTAGGACGTTTTTACCTCCCACCCCCCGCAATCCTGGAACGGTGCACGGGCATGTGCCCTTCAAGCACTCTGCATTGTCTACAACCTTCCACAAATTCCAGACATGAGTGGCCCTGCCAGCGCTAGGGCCGCCAGATCCTCGACCGAGGCATTGAGGGTGGCCGAGAAGAGCATGGTCCTTGAAGGATCTTGGGTTTGACGTGTAAGGGCCGGCGATTGTTTTATCTAGGGTTTTAAGGCTTGGTTGAGTAGTGGACAATCAGACTCAAACTCGAAACCCTCGATGTGAAGATGATCTCCGGCCATAACGCCAGTCGCTTTGCTGTGGATTGAACATGACATGACTTCGGCCCCTCTGCAAGGCAACGCGCCCGCAAGCAAAACCAACCGAATTTCGCAGCCGGTCAAGTTGACGCTGGAACAACTCAAAGCCTAGTTAGGTTCCCGAGTAGCCTGTAGGAACAATGTGACACACGTGGGGGTTTCTACTCGCACAACAGAACTGGGGAAAAGGGTGCAAACAACGGGATGTCCCTTAGACATTCCTGATCAAAGCAATCTGCCTCCCCCTGCGGCCCCGGGCTGTCGTCCCTTAGAGCAGCGCTTTAGCACCTGCACGCCAACAGCTGACCGATATCTTCCGCACTCGAGGATTCAGAGGGTTTTGCGTCCTAGTTCGAGTTCTTATAGGTAGTAGCAGTAGGGAATTAGGTGCCTCGCAGTGCCCCCCGAATATACCCCTTCCAGGATGTTATGTCGGCAAGCCATTACGTTGAGACAGCTGATGCTCGAGACGCAGGGAAGCAGCCTCCAAGCATTCCTGCCGGAAGCCCATCTCCAACAGCCTGGAGGTGGCTGCAAGCTCGGGCTTGGCCGTAAGCAACATACATATATACCTATATATATATATATATATATACATATACACATATATTTCTACAAACACCGGAAAAAGCATCAACGATACATTATGTAATGAGATTGTTTATACATTTACATTTACTTATATGACTAATCTGGTGTGGGGGCCGTAGACTGCTCAGATCCTCGCAGTCGCACAGTCTTCGGAGCCGGTGGTCTTAAGTCTGAAGCGGCTCTTCGCCCCCGGAACTCACTCAAAATACCCCCCCCCCCCGCCCGGCCAAAAGAGGCGCTGAAACCAGCAAGGCCTCTGAAGTAAAACTTTCGGGGCGCCCTCGGATTTGGGCGCTCGACGCAAGAGGTCGATGTTCTTGGTAGGGGTTTTCGGGTGTGCACTCAAAAGCCAGGCCCGACCCGTTCCCAAACCTTTTGTGGAAGCAACCGGCGAAACACAAGCCTGACAAGCAAGAGGAGACATGTAGTAGTCATATGGTTTTTCGGGTCCGCGCTGGATCCTATCATGAGTCGTCTGGCCGCCCCGCAACTAAGCGAGGTTCTGCTGGGCCGAGACAATTCTTCTTTCATGTCGTTAGGCATGTGCCCCTAGCAACTATTGGCTCGTGAAACAAGAAGCCATCGGAGGCTCCAAAATCTGATTTGCAGCCTCCTCGCCACAAATCACCGCAAAAAACACTTGCCGAGAGCTAACTCACCTTCCCTCGACCGCCTCGACCCATGTCTTGTGAAGGTCCCGGCAGAAGCACTTGGTGTAGGCCGCAGAGCCCTGCCTAAGCGGGGCCGAGTGGCTTCTTCGTGCTCTTTTGAAAACGACTGCTTGGTTCAACCCCCCCCCCCCCCCAAAAAAAAAATAATAAAAATAAGAAAAACCTGATCCCAACGACCTCGTGAAGGTGTGAGCAGATGACATGACGCTGAAGACGTCGATTAAAGTGACTAAAGCAAAAGCATCGCAACAAACCATTAAACAACAAACCGAACTTGCCCAACCCAAGCTGAAGCAGTTCAAGCTGCAAAGCCTTCCTACCGGTCAAGGTCTTCTTCTTGCCGACTTTGCCGTTCACGTAGAAGGTCCTTGGATGATTCGGGCAATGGACACGAGTACACTGTTATACTTAAAAGCATCTCTCAGACTTCTGGCATGTTCTAATGACTCCGCCAAAGCTGCGACTTGATCTTCCGGAACTTCTGCGGGTCCTTAATAGGGCAAGAACCATGCGCCGTGCAAAAGCATAGTGTCCAGGGTGTCTCATTCATTGTGCTCCTCACGCATTGTCATGCCGGCCGTTGCAAGCGGCTTGGAGTTCCGGGAAAACGCCTAGTGGTGTTCTCGATTTTGCTTCAGTGCCGATTGCTTCGGCCGTTCATAAGGTTTAAAGGGTTGACGGAGTTTAGGGGCTGCTCTCAATAGGATACATTGGAGTTCCTTGAAACCAGCCGGGAAGCTGGGCGGCGCCGCTTCATGCGATGCAGCGTGGGAAGCGTCCCCATGAGGATCGTTGGCTTGAGCATGTCCTTACATGGGCTTAAGGGGCTTAAGGGGTGCAGGTGTCGGGTTGTTAGCTGCCTTCGGGTTTGGGATTTCGCCCCTCGTTACGCGGCTTTGGGCTCAGGATCTTGGGCTTTCGGCTTGAGTCCTAACCTTTGGGGTTTGAGGCTCTAAGTTGGAAACAAGCTTACTTGCAGCACCTAGCTCTGAAATGTCGACAAGCCGCGTGCTCAAAAGCGCCCATGTATGTGAAAACTCGGGCCCACCCTGGCTTTGCGACGACTGCCGCGAGCGGAGGCAGGCGGAACATAGCACTGCCTCACTCAAGTCAAGCGACTGGTTTTGACAATCTGAGACGGGAACTGTAGGGGAGTTCCATACCATATACCGGGGAAAAGGACCCCCTAGGAGGCAGACAAGAAAAAATGTACCGAGAATGGTCAGTGGCCACTCGGCTGTTCAATGACGATGTGAACGTCGCGTTGCATCAAGACATCAAGAACGACGGCCATGTTGGACACGATCCCTGGTCAAGGTATTTGCCCACGACGCTTCATTTGACATCGGTTACCACCAACACGCCCAGGACAAAAACAAATAAAAAATGAACACTCGAGCTTAGGGTGGAAGGGACGCATTTTAAGCTCCGACAAGCGACGGTTCGCCAGGCGGACGCTAGCATACTTCGTGTTGCCTTAGTTGCCCAAGTCATGGCGGTGTTCTGAGGGGCCTTGCGGTGGCTAGGGTTTGGGGAGTTTAGGGTCTTTCACAGACTGCCAGACCGAGTGCTTTAAAAGCTTGTGGGTCACTTGATCGCAGGTCCAACTATTGCTTCCAGTCGGCTTCTTACCCCTAAAAACCCTGCAGACATCCAAACTGCCCCCTTCATGACGAGCGCATGCGTCCTGCACACCAGCCCTTGTTTCCCAACTTTCCTAACGCCGCGGAGTTGCCCCACGGGTTGTCAAGACTCCGCCGGTGGATGCTGCTGCTCATGAAGACGAACAGGCTGCAGGGGGGGCCCCCCATCACCAGCCCTCCCGACTTCATCCGGCAGGCGAGCCTCAGCTCAGGGAGGGAGGTGGAGTTTTTGAGGAACTTTTTTTTTTTTTGGGGGGGGGGGGGGGGGGGGGTGGGCGGTTTCAGAAGGAGAGAAACGGTGAAACTCAAGAGACGCCTCGGAATATGGCAGGCCAGGGGGCGTCAACAAGTTGTAGAACCCTTCCTCGGCACAAATGTCGTCTGTAGCGCCGTTGATCTTCAAATCATACCTGACTTTGTCCAGGAACCCGTCGGGCAACAAGGAGCCCTTGTTTGTTTTCACTGGTGCATTGCTTCATTGTTTCGTTCTCTTACAAGTAGCTTACTCAGAATCCCTTCACAACTTCCCGCACAGGGCATTCAAGATACACGGCACAGTTCTTCTGGCCCTTGTTCTTGAAGATGGCAGACACGCTGCCGCTGGCGCCGAAGAGGTCGAGGAGGTCAAGCGTCCTCTTGCCTCTGAAGCCTTGGTTCTCCAAAACCTGTGTGCGTTCCGGAAAGTCGCTTTTTCGCGTGAATTTGAAACGGAGAAACGCGTATCTACAAATTTCTACAGGAAGCTTTTCACGAAGTGCTGAATGTCCTTCTTGGCTGCATTGGCATTGAACCAGTCGTCCTCATGCTGGGTCGAGTCCGTGTCGTTGCCCAGCTGCGGCTTCATCGACATCGTGGAGGTCGTATAGTGCCCAATTCACTAGCAGCCTCCTTCTATGCCTGAGCCGAAAAGCGGCTAAAAGTGGGCCCTGGACATGTCGTGGCAAGTCTGTGTAAAGTGTGTGGCGTGAGCCCCAACTGAAGGCAGATGACAAATGGAACCCCATGCGCTGACCTGTCAGCTTCGTCGAAAACGACAATCTCCAACTGCTCCATGTGCACCTGATCGTGCAATATGTAATGTCGTGCATGTAGCTCCAAGAGCAAGAACGGCTCCCAGCTACTTCGTTCGAGAAACAAACACAGAGGGTCGTTCTTGGGGAGCACGTGTCGCAGGAAATACAACCACAAGTACCTTACCCCATCTTGCCCCTTGCCTGCAGGTTCTTTCAGTAGCATGTACAGTATCCAGCACTCTGCCAAGAGTTACTCTGTTTTGTCACTGGATTTGTATGCACCTAAAGTTAAATCTCGTCGTCACGTGTGACAGCTGCAAGTCCTGAAGTCGAAGCATTTGTGGAAAGCTTGCGATGCTTTTCTGCCGCTGCTGCTGATGCAGCCTAGGCCTAGTCAACAGAAAAGAAATCACGGAGAAATACAAGAAGAAGAATACGCAGAAGAAGAAGAAAAAGAAGAAGAAGAAGAAGAAGAAGAAGATGAAGAAGAAGATGCTGCCGAGTCAGGTATTGACGCACATGATTGCACATCACAATTAGTCTGCGCAAGTCCGTCAATAAATGGATAATCCGCGTACCTCGTACCAAGAAAGGCTGCGCTCGAAACATCCCTGAACAAGGAGCCTCGACAAGTGGCCTAATGTTCGCTCTGCGCTTGTGATGAGGATGTGCCATCGCATCCTAGATTCTAACGTCTAAACATGAAGGGCGCAAAACGACCTGAAGACGCTGACCCCTGAGGCAACCGTTATTGAGTTGTTTCCCGCCAGCCGGCAAAAGACCTGAGAAAGAGCGCGAGCCCGGCGCCGAGTGGCTGTTCATCAGGTGGTCCAAGAGGCCTCTGGGACAGCTGAGGGCGGCAGCGGGCCAAACAGGAAAGATCCCGTTGCTCTCACAAGGTCGTATCCTCACATTGTGGGGGAAACCAACTTTTGTTTTCGTAACAAGGGAAGCCAAATGAGACAACACAAAAGCCCCTCTCCTGAATCTGCGTACACCTCTCGGTTCCAGAAACAACTTCTGACAGGCCGAGAGTCGCCCTGGTGTGGCCACCACGAGATCAGGCTGGTTCCGGAGAGATGCCGCCTCTTCGTTCTGGATTCGGGAAGAGCAGGCTTCCGAGGGGTCAGGGCTTTTGGACGTTTGGAGAGATTTGGAAGCCTTTGAAGGCCTGTGGAAGCTTTTGGAGGCACACATCTTGAAGCCACACTGTGTCCATCAACCTCACTTCAAGCATCCTCAGCATCTGCCGAAGCGCAACCTGTGCAACACAGGCCTGGTCTTGGGCGACATACCCTCCCGCAACCTCATGCGCAGATCGCAGGGGGAGGGTCTCGGTCTAGAGGCTTGCTGGGGCGCTTCGGGGGCACTTCTGAACCCGAAGCCTACGGGCCGCCAGCTCCCTGGAGTGACCTGAGACGGGACTTGAAACTTCGAAGCCGAGACAAGTTCAAGTTCCCCGAGACTCATAAACTCATGATATTACCGCAGAAGCCGCGAGGAGCCAAGAAACATCCTTGAGAAGTCCGACTAGCCGTAACAGGAATCCCCTGAGCTGCCCAGTCCGAGTCCCCAAAAGACGTGTCAGGCGAAGGCCAGGAAGGCCAGGAAGGCCAGGCCCCCCCACAAGTTGGTAGGTGACACTCGTGTACCTCTCTCAAGGAGGGGGACTGTGCAGGATGGAGTTCGGGATTCCAGGAGGAGTAAGCTTCCGGCTTCCGGAGCTTGGGGTTGGGAGGCGAAGGTCAGGGAGGATGTGGGGCACTTTGCGAGGTCGTTGAGCATCTCGTGGCACTGCCTTTCCCGAAACAGGCCCGATTGCTAGGCAGCACCAACACCGCCAACGGCAGTCTTTCAGAGAAATCCAGTCAGCAACTCATTAACATCCTGGGATGGTCCAAGACCCAACAACACTCGATTGGCCCCCGGTTTTGGCCCGGATGCCCCACGATATCTTTCCCTTTCAAGCCTTTATAAGCTCCTCCCCTTCCCCCCTGAAGCCCTTAAGCCCCTCATTCTTGCGCCCACGTGTCATCTCAGAGATGCATGGGGCTCCGGCACAGCCAGCTCCCTTGTGGGGATCATGACCACAGCTTTGGTTGCCACGGGTCCTCCGTGTTCTGGGTCGTGGGTCTTTGCTTGGGGTCTTGACGTTTCAAGGGTGTCAGGAGTGCCGAGGGCTTCAAGGCCTTGGCTCTTGCAGGGATTTTGAGGATGGTGCACTGTCGCGCATGTTGCGGGTGGCGGGCTCATCCTCGCACCCGGCAAAAGGGGGGCTAAGACTCAAATTAGCTGGGTTCGTGGCCCTCTGCTGGCTTGTTCTGATGCTTGAGGCTTCAGGTTGAAGAGGGCTTTGACAAAATCCCTCGTAATTTCCAACAGAGTTCGCTCCATGTTTACCAAATCGGGCCAGCGAACCTCAAGCCTCAAGGCTTCAGGACCGCCCTGCACCCGGTCCTATGATCAGCTTTCCGGCCGCGTCCCTTCGCCGGGCCCTCACGCTAGGGCTTTGACCTGGGCAGAGTCCAGTGTTTTCTTCGGTTTGCAGGGTCTGTTGTTGTGAAAGGTCTTTGCGCTACATGGAGCTCACGTTCAAGTCCAGTCCAGTACGCTGTGCAAAGGTGCTTTCGCTTGCGTATGGTCTTCCATCTTTCTCGCGATGCGTCAGCTGCAGGGAGCTAGATGTGAGAAGCTTCCTGCGCCCTGAGCTTTAAGTAACAACTGCACGGACACTAGACAACTTTCAGCCCCGAACTAGACAACTCTCTTGGCCAAGGAGCACAGTCGCTCCAAGGTGGGCAGGAGGAACGAAGCTGTCTTGCCAGAGCCTGCGCTCAAGGACATCTCACTGTTCGTGGACAACAGAGGGGACCGCAGACCTCACGCGCAAAAAAACGCACTTCGACTCAGCTTACAAGCGGGGAGTGCACCTGGGGATGTTACGTTGATGGTGCCCTTTGTAATCTGTGAACTATGTTGGTCTTGGACCACGCACGCATAGTATGTGCACTCACGGGACTGCAATTTGCGATTGCAGGCCTTGAAACGCGGGGGTACTTCGGAAGCTGCACATGTTGGCTTCTGCAGGACTATCTGCCAGGCGCCCTGACTCCCCCAAACCGTCGTCCATCTCCCCAAATGCCCAAAAGGCATGTTGCGGTCATGTCGTTGCCTGTTTCAGCAGTGGCCAAGATGTCCGTGCCTTTCAGCGCGTGCGGGATGACGTCCCTGCGCAAAGGATGCTTCCAGCACTGCACGTCCATACTTAGCACCACGAATAGATGCATTTGCGGGACCATCAGATGATGCTCACACACACTGTAGAAGAATGCCCCCGCACAGACTGCTTTTGCGACCTGGAAGACTAGTAGAGCATGACTTGAAGCTGCTCAACGTAGCGGTTAAGGATTCTGCGAATTTTCCTTCTGGGCTTTTTGACTGATGGAGTCATTCCCTTCTATAAGCCCGACACCCACAAGCTGTGAAAAGCAAAACCTGAAACTCTAAGTCTATGCCAACTCCCGCATTCTTGTAAGTCACATCCTCTCCACATATAAATATACATATAAAAATAGAAATATAAATATAAACATAAATAAAAATGTAAATATAAATTACTAAATACATAAATAAATAAATAAATAAATGGAGTTACATATATACACATATATATGTATGTATATATATATATATATACACATACATAATATACGCACAGTCCTCACCATAATCCCAACATCTGACACCTCAGCTCTAGAAGCACTAGCTCCGGATTCTGGACTGTGTATCCGCATCACAAGAGCCAAGAGCCTTTGGATGGGCGTCGGGCACTCAAACTGGAGCTCGGTGCACGCCTCGTGGCTTCTCGAAAATGCGGGCTATGTGGCAAGAGGGGGATGGCACTATTCACGAGAATGGAACCTAACGGGGACTAATAGTTTGGATTAATCCCCACGAGAGCCGTTGCCTGATGGAAGACTTCCTTCGTGCTTGCTCGCTCAGCCAGAAAGCGCCCCCAGGGTAAATGGAGTGTGAAGTTGGGATGGCTTTCCATGGCTACAGGGGCCCGGAGGCCCGGTCACGCCAAATAACCTGGCAAGAAGAAGGCAATCGTCAAGCGACCACTCCTTCAAAGACAAACAGCTGAACGCGTCTGGGAGATGGGACGATCCTACTTAGACCTGTCCAATAAGCGCATGTGCAAGCCCGTGGTGGGGAGTTTTTTGCCATAAGCTGCGCTCACCAGTTGTCTGGGCCGCACCAGACCGGCGGTCTCGGTTGTCTTGGGCCCCAGCTCTCAACAAGGGCCTGCAGGCAGCTTAGCTCTCAGTTGGGACAATCATCCGGGCCCTTGAAGAGTAGGTTAGAACTCCTCGCAGAGGCTCAGCTGCCAAGGACACACCCTCAGCCAAGCCACAACCACCAGACCCTCAAGCTCGAACATGGCAACACATGCCATTGCCTGGAAAGCCTCAGATCCGCGAAATGGATGTTGGTCCGTAGATGCTCTGGAGTGCCTGCGACATGAGGCTTTGGCCACTGGATCTCAGCGCAGCTTTCTGAACCCTATACACGCCCCTTTCCCCCAACCTTACTGCCCTTGGCCTTCGGGAGCTTCTGGTGCCGGCCTCTGTGAGTCGAAACGTGAGGGTGGGACGTGTAACGCTCAGGGGCACGGAAGTGGAGGACGAGGCTCTTGCTTTTGGGTGCAGGGCTTGGTCGAGTCGGCAGTTGGGGGAGCTTGAGGCCAAGGGCCTTCTGGCCTCAGGGAGAAGGGTGTTCATGTTTGCGTGCGCTTTGCAGGTCTCTGTGGGCCCGAGCGATTGGTTTCGTGAGCTCTACTGCAACACGAGGCCTCTCACAGGTTTCTTTGATTCAAGGCTCCAACTTCATTGGAAAACTTTTGAATGTCTGGCACAGGGTCCGTCTCCAATCCGACGCCAGGAAGACGGTGTGCTCCTTGCTTCTCGTTGGGACGAATTCGATCGTTCGATCACGAGCTGCGTGGATTCTTCCAACTCTAACACGATGCCGGAGGGTTTTTTCCGAAAACACTGAAGTCAGAACGCCCAAGGGCCGGACTCGGGCGCCGCCTCCTGAGGAGCCTCCTGTCGGCAGATGTAAGGGTTTGGAGCTTTTGCGTGCCTTACGTCGTAGGGGCAGAAATGGACCACGTTGAATGTTGACATTGCAGCCTCACTCCTGCACCTCGCAACCCAAGAATGGGATCTCAAGCCAAGGAAAAGCAAGTAGCACCCCTAGGTTGCAGGATGCAGTCCAACGGCGTAGGGTCGTCTGGGTACTGCGCAAGAAGTTTCGACTGGACCAAACGTTGAACAATAACAACCACATCATGTTTATGGCCCCTTTCCAAGGAGAAACAAGAAAACATCAACTGCCTGAACCTGTTGTCGGCGGCCTCCTCAGCTGCTGCAGACTTGGCAGACTTGGCGGCTTTCTTTTTGGCCCCCTTCTTCCCCTGGCGCAAGCCGCAAAGTGTCGATGACTTCGATGACTACTTCGGATTTCAACAGGTCCGATGACAAAGACTCGCACACCAGAAGCGAGACCTATGCTTTTTGGCCCCTACACGCTTGGCAAGCAGTCGAACACCCTCAATTAGCCCTTGGCCCTCATGCGCAGGTCCGGGCCTTCGCCTTGCCTTCTGCTTTGGAAAGCTTGGATTCTAACCGCTCCCTGCCGATGGGGCTTGCAGTTTCGGTTTCTGAGTTTCTGACAGTCGGACAAATTGGGGATGCTGAGGGTAGCCCTACGCCGAAACCTCGCGCCCCAGAGGCTCTCGAGAGTTCGAGGCTCAGTTCAGAAATCCCCAAACTGCCTCAAAACCTGCAAGAGGCCGATGAGACATCCCTCACGCTCATTGAGCCCTCCAAAAGATCCATAGCGACCGAAATGGGGACGGTAGCATGTCTTGGCAGCGAGCTCTCCAATCCCAAGATCCGAACTCGAACGTCGCATTTTCAGGTGGACGCCTGCCCCAGCCCGCCTGATCTTCTCCTCGAGGGCAGAGGAGGTGCCTCCCACAGCACCACGCTCCTCGCAGGTTATCGAAGTAGAATCCAGACCCTTACAAATCCCAGCAGGAACTTGCGAACACAGGAAAAAGGAGCTAAGACAACCTTCCCCAAAACAGAGAGCTCCCGCCTCGGCATCGTGCGTGTCGAAGCTCCACTTGGCTGCCTGTTCCTTGTGACCGGGCTTAATTGACAGCTTCATGAATGAAGCGCTTTCGGACGTTTGGGGGTTTGGGTTTTGGGGCTCGTGCCCGGTGGGGCGTTGAGGCAGCTTGGAAGAGCCCAGGACTCTGCCCACGACTTATAGCCAGCTTACCAGTCTCACCCCTAGAAATGCTGACGCAAGAACCTCAAAACACCGAGGCGCCGAACAACCCTCGACCCTGAACCTCAGAAACCTTCCGAGCTCAAGTTATGACCGTGTGCCCAGCCTGGGCACTCTTCCGAACTGCACGTGCGGGAGGAAGCTCCTCTGGGAGTGCCGGAAGGCGGTTGCTCCCAAGTGAAACGCCATACCACGACCCGACATCTAAAAGCTATTGGTGCTGCGGTTCGCGCAAGCTGCTGAACGTGCAGTCCTCATCGCTGACAAGATCGTCAAACGCAAGGCCGCGGGTCTTCGAGAGCACGACCCCATCGTCCTGACGGCATCATCTTTTGTGTCAGCGTGTCAACTCCAAAAAGCCTCGGGGCTTCAGGGCCGCAGGCAACTCTCGAACCTCCACGTTCCCTTGCCCGGGCCCTGAACTCTTTCAGTTCGAGGCTGCTAGAAGTCCTCGCTGTCGCCATCTGAGCGGTCGTCTGCATCTCCCGTGCGAATCAAATCCATGGTCCGCGGGATGAGGGCTTGTCAGTTGGGTTTTAGGTTCTCGGGGGTCTTGGGGTTTATGGGTATCTGGCAGGTGTGACTCTAGAGTTGTTGGTGGTTGAAACCATCGGCCCTACTGCTCCTTGGTCAATGGCCCTGTGCGGCTCCTATAGTCCTAGCCGTAGCAAGAACTTTGTAAGCTCTCAAGCTTCAAAGCTTCCGGGGGTAGATTTCGGTGGGTTTGCGGCTGGTCTTTCTGCACGTTCCCTGAGTTGAAGCCGGGGAGGGCTGACGGCCCAAGCATCCATACAAAGCTTCAAAAAGAGAGCCAGCAAACAGCGGCGGCCACGAGGACGATGCCAAAAAATCTAAACGGCTGTTCACATCGTGACTTGACCCAACTCATCTGATAGAGCGGCTTTCGAGCCCAGACCCCTGAGGTCAAATAGGGCTTGCGTGGCTTGACCGATCGGCACGAATGCGAAAAGCACCCGCGCCGGCCCCTGCCCCCCAAGCAAAGGCCTTTGAGGCTGGACGGGTGAGGACGGTCTCCGGAGCCACTTCTCAATTAGGCTACATTCGGAACGCGGCAGCCGGCTTTTAGTCAACCTGAAAGCCCCATGCTCGGAATCTGGATGGGGCAGCCCTGAATATTTGACACCTCAGAACTTGCAACCCTGAACACTTGAGAGGGCGTATGCTTGAGCTCTTCGATCTTCGGGCACTTGGCCCCCCCCCCCCCCCAGGCCGAAGTCATGCTAAAGGCCAAGGCAATTCAGGTTGCAAGGCTTCGAGTTTTCCGACCGCGGTGGGGAGATGGCGTGCTGGTGCTTGGGTTGCTCAGAGAAGGACCTGGGCTCTGAGGCGTCCGATAGGGCCTGAAACGGATTTTGAGAATCTCATTCTTCGGGCTTGCCTTGGGGCTTCCTGCAGTGTTACGAGTAGGGCAATTTTGAAGGTCTGCAGATGCTGGAGTGCATTTTGGGAGCTCACCGCGCCAAGAAAGAGCGCCGGGCTGGGCCTCGCACCGTCTTTGGCATCCGACCACAAAGCTCCAAGCGCTCAGCTGTGGGGAGGAAGCCGTCCTCGCCAGCCCAAAAAGGAAAAGGAAGGCTGGAAGGTGGTGCAGCTCGAGGGACCTGTAGGGACATAACTTCTAAGCTCCCGGAGCCTCCATCAAGTTTTTTTGGGCCAAAGGGGAGCGTGATAACTAGCGTAGGCCAGACTCCTCACAAGCCCTGAACCACTCCGCCTCCCGGTACCGCGCGCGTTCTCTGCTCCTCGCGCTCCAGTCCTCTGCTGCTGAGAATGAAACTCGGGCATCGGGCATAGGGTTGAAGCTGTCATAGTCAGCTACAGTCAGCTACAGCACACTTTCGCCCTCCGCCCGGCATGAAGGACTCTGAATGGCTCTGTCTGGCACATCCAGGGACTCGAAAGGAAAGGAGGTTCCACATGAAGGCGTGACATTACCGCTTAGGCCTTCAGACTTTGAGAGGTGGGCTGTGGTTGCATGGGGAACCTGGCAACAAGCATCTCAAAAACTGCCAGACAGATGCTCCTATACACCTAGAACGCTGAGCTCCTCTTCGTTGAGCTCCTGCGACTCGTCATCCGTCGTCTCCTTTCTCTTCGAGGGCCGGGCATGAGCATCGAAGCTCGGAACGTGGCAGTCAGGGCAAGGAAGGATTGGCCAGAGGCGCTGGCGATCCGCCAACGCCCCAGAAACCAAAAGAGCAAGACCTGCCCCGGAATCCTCAACCTCAAGGGATTCCTGCGCAAATGTTTGTGCCTTCCTCAACCTCAAGGGATTCCTGCGCAAATATTTGTGCCTTGGTCTAACATGATGCTCCCCCCCCCCCCCCCCCCCCCTCCTACCCATTCTTCGGGATTGAAGGCGCTGTATTTTAGGTGCTTCAGTGAAGTCTACGTACCCCAGGACAGGGAGAAGCTCCTTGCCCAAACCCTTGGCCTAAGTGTCCGGGACTCCTCATCCGTCTTCGCGCCATCGGTCGCCTGGAGGCACAGGTCTCCAGAAGTTTCAGGCTGCACAAAGATGGCCCGAAAGGTGGCTTCCAAGAAGGGCTTCCAGGGCCAGGGATTCCCAAGGCGCCATAGGCTCCCCAATAGAACCCACCCTAAAGACCGCCACCGCTTGGACTTCGCTACGTCGGACTTAAAGCCACTTGACCTGGCCTTGCCTTTGGTCCCTCCTTCTTTTACGGATCTTAGGCCTGTCCGTGCTGCCTGGCCTCAGGCGGATCCTCTCTTTGGAGTTCCCTGGCGAGTCGGCACGAGGCGGCTCTTTGCCCAAAACACAGACGCATTTCCACACAAGGCCCAAATGTCAGCCTGATGTGACTCTGAGGTCTCAAAGGTGTAAAGTTTCCAACTCAAAATGCTTCGGACTCTGGACCCAACAGATGCCCAGAGCTTGGTGCGCCTTCCCGGGCGATAACCCGTGGATGCCTCACCGGCAATCGGCTTTCAGCGGCTAAGGCGGCTTCGACCCTCGTACTTCATGGGTGCCTCATATTCGGGCGACCCTCATTAGAGGATCTAGAGGATCTAGAGGATCTGGAGGATCTATAGAACAGCAACATGGGTGAAAACTGCCGCGGCTGCCACCCAGCGAACGAGACCAACAATGCTGCCTGAATGTCGGCGACGGGAGGGTGCTGGACAGCCTGCTAGCCAGCGGCGTGCAGAAGGCGCGATAAGCCAGCAAGGTTGAATTGAGGTCGCTGCTTTCTGGTCTTGACCACTGGGACACTGACCACTTGACTCCTGAACACCGGTTCTAGATTCTAGCCTCAGTCCGCAGCTACGGACCAATAGTCCATCATCCCCAACGCATTCGTTGCCTGACGGTTGGAGCCGGACACCCTCCGCGCAGCTTCTGAAGCCTCTCTGCCGTGCTGTGGTGTCGGTGTTGCTTCAGAGCTAGGCTTTGTGAGCGAATGAAGGCGCGGGAAAGCTTGGATAAGGAAGTAATCCCCAGTGGAGCTTCGTGCTTTAACCGGCTTCGGTATGAGATGGTAGTTCCATATGGTCTCAGGCTATGGCCATCGCTAAATCGTCACTACGCCCTGGTGCTGTCGCCACTTGAGGATTGGCCATTGATCCGTGCAATCTCTACGCCTGCGGACTTTGGGTCTCTTAGGCTTTAAGGATCTTTAAGGTGCAAGGCCTGTAGAGTTAGGAAAGTGGTGCTTATAGGGTTCAGTTCAGGTTTTTGTTGGGCTGAGGTCGAGCCTGGCGGTGCTCCTGTGTCAAGTCGATCTGGACCACCGGCGGGGAGGTCGCGCGTACAACTTCGCAAGACGGGCTCTCGGTTGCCGGCTTCGCGACCCCTCTGCTTCTTAAGATTAGGGGGTTGAGTGGTCTATCGTGTACTCACTTTGCATTGGGGTTTGGAGATGCATGCAATGGATTCAGTAAGTGTGCGAGCCGGTAAGAACTCCCCCTTGCCACCCTTTCGCGTAATGTGAACACACTCATTGCCGACCTCCACTGCCAAAACAAAATTCCCCGCAACAGAAGAGCCAACGTCAAGACGTTCGACTGCGACTCAGAGCCCACTCCATGCCTGGACTCAACTGAAACCCGAAACCATCCCTTCACCCGAAATCATCCAAAATCGACCGAGATTTTCGCTGAAGGGCTTTTGTCTCGCCCCTGCTCCTTTCGGGTGCGGATCGCGACCCTTTAGCGCACTTTCGAAGCAACGTCCCAAATCCTTTTGGGCGGAGCCTGATAAGTCCCCCAAGTCCATGGGCTCCGCCTTACGGCCCATGCGCCGAAACCTGCTGGGGGTGCTGGGGGCTGCTGCCTTGGAAGGATCCGCTGGAGGGCAGCGGCCGTACCGGCGCGGAGTAGAGCCGCGGTGAGGGCGACGGAGAGCGAAAGCCTTGAAGCAGATGCAAGTCGCCTTCTGCAGAATTGGTATGTCATACGGTATATCCTATGGTACCTAGCTGCGGATGACAACCATCCAGATTCTGGTCATTAGGATGCTGAAAACCCTGTGTCCACAATTCGGACACCAACTCTGTGTGAAAGGAATTCCAAAAGAGCTGGCCGTAACTGTCAGTCTATGTCTGTCGATAATACTCAGATTTAAGTCCAGGGTTTTTGCAAGGCTGCAACTTACCGTTTGCAAGTTGTTGACTGAAGCTCGACCACAGGTCGCCCCCATGCAGGCTAGTGCTGCTTGTACCTGGAGCTAGACCGAGTCTACCCCCCCTAAAGTCCACGGACCAAGAGCCCGACCCGACTCAGGACATCAAACGGGAGCTGATGTGCTAAGAGCTCTTCACAGCAAAGTTCGAAGCCCCCAAAGCCCTCAGATTCCAAAAGACAAGATCTCGGGTCGCACCGATCCAAAATGGAAGAAGCACCACGGAACCGACAACTGAAGTCACGGCAAGGTAATAGGCAACTACCCAGCGGCTGGTTGTGTAAGACAGCGTCCGTGGCCTGCCGGGGTGGGTTGAAGGCTTTGTCAGGACTGCACAAGGGTCTCTACAGGATGTGGTCTTTGAACGCCCGCAACTCTCTGCTGCTGGGCTTCGTTTTGAAGGACTCTCCTGGAGCCTCTTGAAAAGTAGCATTTTGTAACGGGGGGGGGGTCCTTGCAAGGATGTCGATCCTGCATTGCGTTGCAGGCGCGATCATTCGGGGGGCCAAAGCTCGCCGGCGGTCAAAAGCGTGGTCAAGTAATCTTACTGAACAAGTTTCTCCAGCGCCAGATATTAGGGCCTCCATCTAAGCACCATTCGGTCCAACTCCAGCCCTCTTCAGACCTCTATGACTCCATGCTTCTTGACGCTTCAGTCTAAACTCTGTCAAAAAGCCGAGGCTTCTCTGAGAGCCCCTTACGGCCCCTGACCCCCGCGTGCCAGCTTCGCAGGCTGACGACGCGCGGCGTCGATGAAGCTGTGGCCGGCCGGCCTTGAGAGCATCATCGAGTCAGTGCCATGAGGTGTAGACGCTTAGAATGTTTGAGTTGTTCCTGCTCATATTACACGATGTCATGCTCTGTAGGGCTGACTTTAATTGACGAAGACATTGCCAGCATGAAGCAGGGACAGGCCTGCTTTGAAAGCCGATCCATGGAGATCTAAACCCTCTTCACAAGCTGCTCAATCTTTCGGCGTCTGGCCAGCACGAGGATAGGCCTCTACAAGTTTGCGATGGATGTCTTAGGCGAAACAACTTGTTGCAAGTAAGAGGGAGCAGGGCAAGCTACGTTGACAAACTCACATCCCGGCCCAAAGCCCTGACTTCTCTAAGGCTCCCTGCCCATCTCGGACGAGACGGATGCCGTGGAGATCTGTCTCTCGACGGTGCAGGGAGAGGTACCTGACGAAAGGGTACCGGGTACCGGCCTTTGGTGCGTATTGAATTGAGCTAGGGGGGGGGGGGGGGGTGCGGGGGGGGCAAGAAGTGCGACTTCAGTGCTCGTGTTCAAAAGGGGATCTGGGCTGCTCATTGGGGACGAATTGTGAACCTGCTCAACCCTCTGAGCCCTAAGCCTCCCAAAGGCTCCCACTCCGAGCCCCAATACCCCCGTAAACTCTGAAGACCCTTGCCCCCCCAACCTGCAACAAAAATCCCCACCTGGCTGGAAGGTTGTCCAGGCCACAGTCGAGGGCCAGGCCGGCAGCACCAACGGTCGCAAGCGACTGCACGCTTCAGAGCATGTGTTTGTAAGGATCTGGGGAATGATGGCAGAGATGAGGGGGCATACAGTGTATCTATATGTCGACAGAGCAAAGATGGTCGGTATTGCATTGCCTGATCTGGCTCAGTGAGCGAGAGAGCGAGAGAGAGACAGAGACAGAGACAGAGAACAGAGAACAGAGAGAGCGAGCGCGCGAAAGCGAGAGTGAGAAGAAATGGAAAAAGGCAGAGAAGTGGAATGTCGCTGGCTTGCAGGCAGCTCACTGAAGTCTTCGGTCTTTGCTCCGTCGTATCTTTGAATCTGGGCTGATTCATGCTTCGATGGGGATTGGACTTCCCAAAGGTTTCATAGTCTTGGGCTTGAAGGGATTTGGGCACATGGGGCTTCAGGGTGCTCAGATTTTGGGTCAGGAGCCTTCCCCAATCGAAGTATCCTGTGATTGCTAGTAGCTGTAGTAGCTCCCCCTGGCATCTTGTCCGCAGGCCCAAGGTGCGGGTCACTACGCTACAAGAACACTTCTGCTGTCACCCCGAGCTCGGTCCTGCGTGACGGTTCGCCGGCAGCCTTGCCTGTCCGGAGGTGGCCAGGATAGGCTTTGAACTTCGAACTTTGCAGACTTCTCACGTGCGCGTGATAGGCCATGAATACAGATCGGGACGCCTGTAAACAAAATGTTTAGGATTTCAGAGGCTCTGACTTTGTGGGCGGGTCCGAGCGTGACTTGAGCACTGCTATCACCAGAGACGAACCTTCGGGAAACTTGTGCTCAGAGTCTAGCATCTGACGCAGGAGTTGCACTTGTGTTTATCGCGAGGAAGATGCGTGACCAGACTAGACTGGACCTGCGCCCCTACCTCTACAAAAGCTGCGATCGCCCGCCTGCGCTGGGAGCCGTGGCCGATAACGCCGCGCTCGGAAGCCTTGGTCAGGTGCCAAGCCGGCAAAAGGTGAAGGCACCTTCACATGACGTCGGGCTTGGCTGGGAGATGGAGGCTTCCTCCCAGGGATGAGAGGTATCGCGTTGGGATCCAAAGCTGTCGGGTCCTCCCGCATGTAACTCCTTTGCCCTGCCAACCCAGGAACCTCTCAAAACCACGTTGAGCGCCAATTCGCTTCCACATGCTTCCACAACTCCATGTCCACCCCGGCAAGAAAACCACTACGAGCTTATCAGGTATCAAGACAGCCCGCAAGAGCTTGGCAGCATCGCGATCTGCTGGGGTGGGGCGCAGGATTTAAGGCCATGAATCTGAAACCTCCAACTGCAAGCACGCCGCTGCGGAGGAGGAGGAGATCCTCACAGGGATGGAGACTGACTTCTTTAGGCTTTCTGCCTGAGACCTCGCCCTGCGCTTGGCAGGGTGAAGATGGGAAGAAGCGGCTGCGGCTTTCGGGATGGGCTTAGAGCCGCTAGGGTTTCGCATTGCGATGAAACGCGCTGCCATTTACGCTGGTCCGAAAATCATGCTCCAAATGTAGCGCCTACTCCGTAGCTGGATGATCCTACTACCCTGCACCAAGAAGCACCCGCTTTGACCCACCCAGGGTGCCTCGCCGTACGGAGCGGTAGAGCCTTGGTTCTTCTTGAGATCACGACTCAGAACTGAAGGTCTAATAAACCTAGCAAAGGTGCTGTTGACAAGTCCAGAGGTCATTTCCCGGGCCCATTCCAAGCGACCCTCGAGCTGCAGGAAGTTCGAAGTTCGGGTCGCTAAAACGGGTACGTTTGGACCGGGGGAGCCCCGATGGAAAAGAAGGATCTCGCCTGAAAGCGGACTCAACAACCTTGAAGGCGCCAGCAAAGGCCGCGTTCAAAACCCCAAAACTGTCAGTTCTGCAGCGTACTCGTAAAATTCACAGGAAGCCCTCTGCTCCAAAGTCCAAAGTCGACGAGGAACGGGTTGGGCGTGCAAGGCGCGGTCTTTGCCTCGCCGGGAACCTTTGGAAACGTTTGCGTTGCGCTTGAGGAGACTTAGGGTTCAGATGATCATCCGTTCTGACAATGCTGCCCTGAAAATCCTTGACTGCAAGCCTTCCATTACCGAGCAGCAGTGACACGATACATAGAATGAGGACACGCTGGCACAGTGCGAGCCGCCGCGACTTGGGAGTGCACTGCACTCATGGCTGCATCGTTACACACGCCCACACATTCACAAACTACCAGAGACTCTTGCTACCAACCCAGCATGTCTTTCGACTTGCAGGTGGGATGTACGAGACAGTTCGCAATTGAGAGGAAGCAGGTCTCGTGCTCTTGAAGCTTGGGGTTGGCGAAGCTGTCCGGGAATCCTGCCACTCGCACGTGCCGGGGCGGCCCCGGCCGCAAGGCGTAAGAGCAGTCGAGCCTGAGGCACTCAGGCTTTCGGGTTATTTCGGGGTCGGGGTCGAGGCCCAGACACCCTTTGTGTCAGGTTTTACACATATGCCTTCCAAAAGCTCCAGGCAAGTTCTGGGCCTCCTGAACCTGAAGTCTGAAGGGGTGGCTTAAGGTTTGGATGGGGTTACGACAGCTTGGGGGTGTGATCGGGGTCTTCGGGGCACTCGCCTGGAGCCCACGATGCCACTCTCGGACCTGCGAGGTTTTGTTTGGGGTCCAACAATTCTTGCAGGAGTTTTGATGTGGGAAGTATCAGAAGATGCCGGACTCCCAAACACCATGCACGGTCCGCAAGCTCTCTTTGATACACAAACAACAGCCAGTAAAACCTACAGCAACCATTGGGAAAGGTCACCTCCTCCTACAAGATGCCTTGCGTGCCCTCCGGTGTTGTGGCAGGGCCGCGCTCCCAGCGAGACGACTGCTACCTGCCCAGGTGCGCTACGAGCAGACCTGCTTCTGACCCCTCCCCCCACAAAAATTTGGGGTCCACCTCCCCACTCCCCCTGCCTTGGGTGCAATCCTGCGGGGATGCCTGTTTGTGCGCCTCTTCGTGGGTCGTTCCCACTTCCCACACAGTGGGTGAAGCTGCACTTGCCCGAAACCCGGACCAAAAACGCAAGCCTACAAGGCCCCTTGTACACGCCACCCCCCAAGCTCACTTACGCTGCTGGTGCAAAGTTTCGGGTTTGCGGACCGCCTGCTCTCTGCATTTCTTTCCTCGACCCACAGTCGCTTTCCACATCTGCAACCGGACCATGCAGACTGGCAACTCCGAAGAGCACCGAATCGTGGCTTGGGCCGGCCCGGCGCACACAGCATTTAGAATTGAAGCCTTAACCCAAGTAATCTCGTGGCCTTAAGGAAACACCATGCCTGGTTCATCTACTTGCACAGCTCGGGGACCGAGGACCGAAAGTGGAGAGGGGCTTCGAGGTTTAGGTACCAAGAACTGGCTTGCGGATGAATGCTCGTGGGACAAGGGCTTTTGACCCAAACATCCACCCAACTTGGGACCCGAAAGCAGGCTTCAGAAGGCTTCGAGGGACTCGAGTGGCGCCTTCCTTTGTGCCGGGACGAAAGTGATCCTGGGACAATCAGCTGCGTTTAGGGAAGTTTAGGGTCGGTGGGAGGTTTTGGCTGGGGTCTTGTGGGGGCTTTGGGTTCAGTGTTCGGCTTCTGGATGTCAGGCCTCCGGTCACCAAAAACAAACGGAGTCTTGGCCTGGTTTGTTCACCTTCGTAACATTTGGTCTTGGGTAAATAGACGGACTGCATGGCCGAGCCCTTCATCACAAGCGAAGCTTACACGCTAAGGCCACGTTGAAAACCACAAGGTGCAGCCAAAGGAGCTTCCGTGGAGTTGCAGTTCCAGGCGCCACATACCTTCACACTCCGTATGATATGTTGCTGAGCAAAGTCCAAGGCATTTAGGGGACTTAAGTGGGTTTACAGGTGCGGGGTTGGGCTGTTGTGAGTGCGGGGTTTCTCAGATTCCAACGCAGACCGTGCGACCGGAGGGCACGACAGGTGTGCAGTTCAGAAGCAGCACGCTCAACCCCCCCCCCCCCCCACCAAGAATCGACAACGTCACAGATCACTTCTTATGCCGAACCCTCGATGCCCTGATGCCCTGAGAGCCTGAAAGCAACACCCCTATCACCTGTAAAATTTCCGAATCGGAGTCCCAGTTCGAGGCGCCCTCCATCGCGCGGTGAGTAGGCAGATGGTCTCGGCACCTGCTCCCAACAAGGCTCGCAACTGCGCGAGATTTCAGGGTAACTTACTCTGTTCCTATTTCAGGTGGCTGCAGGTAGGAGCCTGGCGACGGGAATTTTGGGACCTTGGGTTTGGGGTTTAGTCTGGGTATTGTCAGCCGCACTCCACATCCGCTCAAACCCTAAATCTCTAGCTATGCCCTGGCCCACCTAGAAGCGCACTCCAAAACTCCACCATCAGACTCTTCGGGTCAGCGAGCTGTGGTTGTCGGTTGCTTGGGCCCGAATTCCCTGATGTCAGCTTTTTCGCAGGTGCTAACGCGGATCCGAAGGGTGATGCGCACAAAGTGGTGCTGAACTGGAGAAGACGGCTCAAGCCCTCAAAGACCCCCAGATTCCGTGGTGCTTCTCACTGTGCACTGGCATCCATACCATACAGTCCTGCATGAGACTTAAAGCCTTAAAGCCATCCGCGCGCACACACCGAGACATGCACATGCCCCAAAGCAGATCACAACCTCCCAACTTCCAGGCCCAGGAAGAAAGCCCCAAAAACCATCCCAGGACCAAACCGGCACTCTCAAAAAAAACCTGAAGATCCACAACCCGAAGACAGGCGCCGGCGGCCCACCTCGGCCGGCGAGTTGGGCCTGACGTCGGGCTTGGCCACGAGGTCGCTGCGCACCCTTCCAGCGCTTGGTTTACGGCTTCTTGGCTCGAGTTTGGCGTTGTTCTTGGGTTTGGCCCAGAGAGCACAAGCACTCCAAATGTTTAATGGAAGGTCCGCATTAGCTCTTAGCCCATATGGGAGCCATATCGGGAACTCGAGGTCTCCTTTCTTCGTTGCGAGTACCTCGGGGTGATTGGACCAAAGCTTCGCTCGGTGCCGAGCATGGCATCATTGGCGAGCCGCTGAGGGGGTTTTGCTTTGCTGTTCTGGGAACCCACTTTGATATTTAATTGAACAAAGCAGCAAGCTTGGGGCACGAGAACTTCAGGGTTGAGGTCAGGGTGGGGGTTGGGTTAGGGGTTGCGGGCAGGGTTCAGGATGTTGGGAGACGTGCAGTGGTGCATTGAAAGAGCTCAAACGCTGCAGGACTGAGGTAAAAGCCGATTGATGCCGACAGGACTCGCAATGGGGAATGGATCCAATCCTAGACTATTCAACCCTCCATCATTCCTGAACGCATAATAAACAAGACAAATCTTCTCAAACCTCAACAAACATCTCGACGCTGACAGGCAGAGGATGGGGGAATAAGAGGATGGAAAGCGTGAACTCGTTCAAGTTCATTTTTTGAAGCTAAGTGACTCAGTGCTTTTTATTGAGCCTGTGCCAGTCTACGACCTGCCCATGCAACCCTACAAGGGACGGGGGGGGGGGGGGGGGGGGTGGTTCTGAACGTAGTGAATGGAGCAGTGCACGGGCTGGTGGGGTGATTTGGTGGGGAGCAGCTGGAGCTCACTTGGAGGTCCTTTTTTGAAGGGGGCTTCGAGGCACAGGGCGGGCGCTTGCTTCCGGAGCTTCGGGCTTGCAGCTCGGCCTCATTTGAGACTTCACGGCTCTCAGGCTGCAAGATTTTTGGGTGAAGAGCTTCGAGTGGGCTCTTTCTTTCTTGGCGCAGCCGCCACGCAAGACCGAGGGCATGATTATGCGCGCATCTGTGCTTGCAGAGCTTTGGCGTGTTGGGGCTTTGGGTTGTTGGTCTATCCGGATTTGGGGGGTTGTCCGCGGGTCTGGTCTGAAATGTTTCTCATACCATGGAGGAGGCCAAAGATAGACGATCTTGGAGATACTTTGCAGGCGGCGCTTTGGGCTTTTTTTTGGGGGGGGGGGGGGGGGCATCCTTATTCCAAGCAGTCTGCAGTCCAGTATCTGGGTCAGGCCTAGCCAGAAGCTCTGAGTTCCAAGATGCCTACTCTGCGCGCGGCCGCGCCCTCTTTGGGGACGGTGGGAAATGAAGAGGCGGACTCAAGGTATCTCTTAAGCTTGGCATGTTTAGCCACCTAGGTCCGTAACCGGAAATCCGAGAGATTCGCTAAACCCTTAACTGTTCTAGATCCCTCAAATTTCCTCAACCATAGCTAGGGGGCATTCGGGGGGCTCTCCGAGCCCAAGGCTACGACGCGGCATGGTGTTTACGTAAACTCCCCCAAACGTTAAACCCTCCAGCAGCTTCGCCTCATGCGGCTCCTGCTTTAGGTGCTTTCAAGGCTTCTCATTGTGTCGAGCTTGAGTCCCTCCGCCAACCCTTCCAGCCGTGCGCATCTCTTCATGCTTAGTCGTTCTGAAGGAGCTGCGGTCCGCAAGCGGATGTTGGTTTCCCAGAGAGGAACGTGTCAAAAGAACTTCCCCCTAAACGCCCTAAACCCATGAAACCCATGGACCACTTGCAGGACCACTTTAAAGTCTTTAAAGGCCCCAAGAGAGGCCCCACTTGAGCTTGGAAAAGCAGACCACTTGAAAAAACAGTCCGAGGCTCGAGGCTCGAGGCTCGAGGCTCGGCTTCATGGGCCCGGACTCTGAGACCGATTCCAGGATGCCCTGACAGCTGAGCATTGGCTGAGCATTGGCTGAGCATTCTTTGTGAAGCCTAAGCTATCCTAAGCTATCCTATCAGGTCCTCGAAAATGTCGCAAAGTGCTCTGGAGAAATATGAGCCCTCTGCTTCCAGGATACAAATCGAGCGAGGGCGATGGGTTTAGATGTAGGGCGGAGTGGTGACCAAAGCTCTTCAAACCGCTCCGAAGGAGTGCCTCGGGGTTTGGAGACTTGGGGCGTTCAGGGCGGTGGCTCTCGGGCCGGTTCTCGGGTTCAAGGCGCTTGAGGGCACTTTCGGCACCAAGCCATGAACTGACATAGTCCTTTCCCCCACTACTCCTGCTATCCGAAATGCGCGACCGCGACCATTTGCCAATGCTGTCGCTACTTCCCATATCCAGGGCTGGAGGGCCGAGTCCGAACATCTGTTTGTTCTCTGGGTCCACTTTTGGATTTAGACCATCGGGTTCATGGAGGCGTTGGGGCCTTAGGAGGTTCATGGCAGACCCACAGACTGAAGGATGGGAAGCCTGACACTCGCTTAGCACCCAAAAACCAAAGGTGCAGAGAAACACTCGAACTTTCTAGCTGAGACGATGGGAGAATGGAAGGGCTGAGGGTTCCCAAAACCCTGGTCAAGCCGTCACCGACATGCTTGCGGCCCACACCTTGGGTCATTGAGGTTGATGAGAGCATATATCGCATACGCATAAGACCCCTGAAGAAAAAACCTTGGCCTGATGTCGCACGCATCACCAGCTGTGGCTGCAGGCACCCCTCGGTGTGAAAAGGGATGTTCTTCAGGACTTCAGGTTCTAGAAGTATGCAGGGGCATGCAGGGGTAAGGAGTTCGGGCTCCCAGAAGTTCAAAGGCAACCGCGGCAAAGACTTTTGCATGCAGAACAAAGTAGGTGCTGGATTGGCGAACTAGGAGTTTGGGGGATCGTCAACAAGTTGGCCTTGCAATGGGGCCCTGCAGATACTTTCACAAAGGTCCAAGCAATTTGGAGCAGACGCGCCCCCTTCCCCCTTCCCCCC